AAAGGAGGGACAGATTGAATGAGTCTGCCGCCACCACTCTCTTAATATTTATAGGTTATGTTCACTAAATGTAGGAAAGGACAGAACTGCCCTTAATACTTACATGGCAAATAAAACAAATAAAAGACTGAAATAAATAACAAACTGAAATAACCAGCTGTCTAAGATAACTACCAACTAACACTGACATGACTAACAAAGGTTACACATGCTGTTATGCGAACACAGTGGGGACCACAGCCGTGGGGCCCACATCAGTGTTCTCTACACAGTTCAGCCACCTTATTTCTTACTTCAACTTGCTTTTTAACACTTGTCTCCTCTTTACTCCCCTCTTCAACATTAAAGTTTTCCGTGGCAGTGTTTCCAACCACCTGTGCAAAGGTTCTGCTACGCGTCAGAGGGGTTTCTTGCGTTTTAAGCCTCTGATTTTCCATATGCCCCAAGTCTTTTTGGCTCCCCAGAAGCTGTTGGCCCATTTTAGTATAACTTCCAATCTTTTTTGGACCCTCCAATCTGCTTCTTCCACGTACAACTTCTTCCTCAAACTCACCTCCCTCCATTCTAGCTTCCTTCCACAAGTCTGCTTCAATGGAGGAAGCCAGCCAAACTGAAATGGAAACACCCTCCCCTCTTATTTCCACCTTCCTTGGTGTATCTTCAATATAGCCGTAAAATGGAGGTCTCCCCAATAAGCACCATCCAGTCTCCCTACACATCAGTGCAATGGCATCTGCTACTTCTTGCTTCTAAAGATGGAAAGGCAATCTGATTATCCGTACCAGAACCCCATCTTCAATAGAGAAGTTTTTGGTATTAGAGAGAGGATTCCATCTAAAGATTGTAATAGTTGCCAAATCAGTCTGAAAATTAACCGTTGAGAAGTCTACTCTGTTCTCCCCAAAATCAACTAGAGCTTTACATTTATCAAAGGGATTTACAATAAACTCACTCTCTAGCTTCAGTTTAAAGATAAAGTAATCTACAACTCTCCTCCAGTCAACAGATTGCAACCCTATCTCTATTATGAACTTACTAATCCATTTTTCCTTCTTCAAATGTTCCATCACCCTGCACTGTCCATTTGCTTTTGCTACAAACACTGGCTCTTGCTCCATGTTTCTTGATATACTGGACCTTTGATACACCCCTTCTTCCCTCCTTGGACTTCCCTTTACTTCATATTAAGATTATTTGTTTGGATAATGCAAAAGAATACAACTCAAAACCATTTCAACAATATATTGCAATATAGGATATTCACCAAACTTCTTGTTCTTATATCCCACAACAGAATGGCATGGCTGAACGAAAGAACCTACACTTACTAAAACCACTCAGTCCATTATGCATGATATGAATGTTCCAAAGCATTTTTAGAATTATGCTGCCCTTACATCATGTTTTCTCATCAATCAGATGCCCATGTCTATCCTTGGAAGTCAGTCCCCTTTCTTAGTCTTGTTCCTTATTCTTTCTCCATTCCCTCTTACTCCTAGAGTTTTTGGTTATGTTTGTTTTGTTCATAATTTAGGGCTTGAACTGGATAAGTTAGATGCACATGCTACAAAATGCATCTTTCTTGACTATTCCAGAATCCAAAAAGGGTATAAGTGTTACAACCCTAGCTTCCATCAGTCTTTTGTGTGTTCTGTTGTTACTTTCTTTGAGTCCGTTCCATTCCTTTTTAGTTCTGATGTTCCTCCTCCTCCTATGTTTCCTCTTCCGGTTCCAGTTGAGGACCCCATTCCTACAATTCCTGTTGTGTCTCAGCCATCGTCTTCCCCATTGTAGGTTAATGCTCACTAATCACGCAAGTGTATATTCACAGAAGAGCATTGACTCCTCCTCTAGTTCATTCCTCATCGATGGATCTAGTAGTTGTGCCTCATCCTTCTAACCTTGATCTTCCCATTGCATTGCAAAAAGGTAAGCGTAGTTGTACATCTCATCCTATTTCCCATTTTGTTTTTGTTGCTCACCTTTCTGCTTTCCATCGATAGTTCATATCTTTGTTATCCTCTGTTTCCATTCCTAAGAATGTCTAGGAAGCCATTGCCTTTCCAAGGCGGCGACAAGCAATGGTAGAGGAATTGTTTCCATTGGCACACAATCACACGTGGGAGCTTATCACTCTCCCTCCTGGTAAGCATGTTGTTGGATGTAAGTGGGTATACATAATGAAATATCTTCTAGATGACAGTGTGGAATGATTGAAAGCTAAGTTAGTGGCAAAAGGCTACTCTCAGTTGTATGGTGTTGACTATACAGAGACATTCCCTCTTGTGGCTAGGATTGGTTTAGTTTGGGTGTTGATTTCTTTAGTTGCAATGTATGATTGGCCCCTCTTTCAGCTTGACATAAAAAATGCCTTCTTACATGGTGATCTTCTTGAGGAGGTATATATGGAGCAACCACCAGGGTTTGTTGCTCAGGAGGAGGATGGTAAAGTTTCAGACTTAGGAGGGCAATTTATGGGCTGAGCAAATCTCCATGTGTGTGGTTTGGCAGATCCAGTGAAGGACTTTGGCATGAAACAATGCCAGGTAGACCATTATCTGTTCAACTATGAATTAGAGGCTGAAAGATTTTGTTAGTGGTGTATGTGGATGATATTGTCATAACTAGTAGTGTAGCAATGGGATTGATAGGTTGGAGACCTTTCTGCATGATCACTTTCAAACAAAAGACTTGGGTAAGCTGAAATATTTTTTGGGAATAGAAGTTGCAAGATCGAGACATGATATTAACTTGTGCCAAAGAAAGTATGTTCTTGATTTGATTTAAAAGACAGTGTTGTTGGGTGCCAAACCGGCTGAAACACCTATGGAACCAAATGTCAGGTTGAGTATTGATGCAGGTGAAGAGTTTGAAGATCTTGGGAGGTATAGGAGGTTGGTGGGTAAGTTGGACTATCAACCAGATATATCATTTGCAGTAAGTATGGTGAGTCAGTTGGACCATCTGAATCTTACTCAGCTATATCATTTGCAGCAAGTATGGTGAGTCAGTTTATGCAACATCTTTGGGTTCCACATTGGGATGCAATTCTAAGGATTGTTGGATAATTGAAGGGAATTCTAGGCCGTGGACTCTTATACAAGAGTGGAAGAACTCTTGAGATAGAGGGGTACACAAATGCTGATTGGGCCGGATCTGTGTCTAATAAGAGATCCACTATAGGGTATTGTACCTGCCTTAGTGGCAATCTGATGACTTGGAAGAGCAAGAAACAAACTGTAGTAGCAAGAAGCAGTTTTAAAGCTGAATACAGGGCCATGGCTTAGACTGCATGTGAACTAGTATGGCTGAAAAACCTTTTATAGGAGATGGAGTTCTCAGTTGACAGGCCTATGAAGTTGTACTGTGATAACCAAGCTGCAGTCCACATTTCTTCTAATCTAGTTTATCACTAGAGAACAAAGCATATTGAAGTTGACTGCCACTTTGTAAGAGAAAAGGTGATAAGTGGAGTGATAAGTACAACACATGTGAGTTTAGGAAACCAATGGGTGGATTTGTTTACAAAAGGGTTGAGTCGGGTAAGAGTGAATTACGTATGTAACATGCTAGGACTATATGATATATACTCTCCAGCTTGAGGGGGAGTGTTAGAAACGATAGCATAAGAGTAGTTTGGTGTCCCATACTTAATGAGGGACAAAGTTGTCTTTTGTGTTCTAATGCAAAGACTATAAATATAAGATGGGACAAAGTTGTCTTTTCTCTTCCTCTTCTCTTGCCGAACCCTTTCTCTCATCTCTTCTTTATCTTCTTCATCTTCTTTCTTTCTTTCTTACTTTAGACCTAGGACTGAACTTGTGTTAATCGAACCATTCACAAAGGTAATGAAGGAGAAAATAGTTGACGGGGGGGGGGGGGAGGATGAGAGAAATGGAAGGGTTCAGGAAGAGATCAGAGAGGAGAGCAAAGAGAGGGAGAGGGAGACAAGAAGGAATAACGCCCAGGGACTTCCCAAGGTTGTCTTTTAGAAGGGAGGAGTTGGTATTGATAAACTAGTCGATAGACAGGTGGTGGTTGGGAAATCTCTTGGCCTTTTCTTTTTGGAGGGAGAAGAGGTGGTAAGGAAGGCAATCGAACAATTTGAACAGAATATGAGGCAGGAAAGTAACAGGATGAATGCATATGGGGAAGGGGGTGAGAATCGGGAGGAAGGTGAAGGGAAGGAGTTAGATATCATTGATGGAGATTGAGGGGAGCTGTTGGTTTTGATGCAAGTGAGAGGGAGAGGCTTGGTTGTCTGTGGCTGTTTTATGTTGGCTCCCAGTCCAGCTTGATTGTTCAAGAGAGTGTTTCAAGTATTGGGATGTTTGGGGGCCTTTTGTTTTGGGCTTTGGTCCTGTTGTTCTTTAGCTTTGTTTGGAGGTTTTCCTCAACACCTCTCTAGGTTGTATTCACCTTTTCATTCTTAATAAAATAAAAAATCAAGGAAACCCGTATATGCACAATTAATAACTGATAAGTGGTGCTTCAATTACTTATTAACCATAGCAAAATATTAGATAAAAATGGACTTAATAAGAGGCATGGCCAATTAAAGTTAAATGGGGGTAACCACTTTTTGAACATGAGTGGCAATATTCTAGACTTCCAAACAACACCTTAGTAACTATAAAGGCAGAGATGAAGCTTTGATTCACTACAAAGATGAGATTATACATGTTTTCAAATTCCATTATATATACAAGGTGAACCTTTTTTTCTTAAAATTTATTACTTGTTTCTGAATCCAGACTAACAAAGTTGAGGCCCCAAGAAAAGAAATGCAATCTGTTTCAGAACCAAGGTATGTATGGAAGGTATTAAGACTGACAGTTCATGAGTATAGTTTAACAGAATAACTCCTCTTTTTCATATCCATTTCTTTTTATATTTCAGCTCTTTTTGTCTACTTGTAGACTTTTCATTTACACCTTTATCTTAATGATTGCAAAATTTCAATTGTTTTTCTTTGTTGGTGCAGAAAATCAGTGAAAAAGTACAACAACATTACTGATCGTAAGTGAATTTGGTTTCTTCTTCTTCTTCTTCTTCTTTGCTTTCTTCCCATTTATTAATCCAACTTGCTTATCATTAGTTATTAGTAGTTTCTATTATCATCCAAACTTCACCAATATCTTCCACTTCAACACATGGATGATCTCATATATTGTCATTACAACTTACAAGTGCTTGATTCTATATTACTATTTCCCTTTCAAGTTTGCCCACTACACTATTGGAGACCACCACTGGACATGCATGAAACTTTAGCTAACCTGAAGGCCTATCTGTAACTCCAAGGTGCTGGCTTAATTTGCGTTTTCCAAGATATGACTAATTTTGTTTCTCCTTCCACCAAGCTGTTGTGCTATCCTCAATCCCTGCAACAAAGCCATTATTTCAACTCTAACTGAGTCAGCAAAACCAATTGGTCCTGAATATATAGTCACCACCATGCCTAAGTGGATCTTGAACACACCCCTTACGCCTGCCCTCCCCAGATTGCCCATGGAGCTACCATCAAAGTTCAGCTTCAATTTGTTTTCAGCTGGAGGTTTCCAATCCAATCCCACACTCTATCTTTCCTTCTATCAGTTTGTGCTACTTCTAACCAAGTTCTACTATTTCATTAACTGAGAATACTTGAAATAGTTCCGAAGTTTTTACCCAATGCACATCTCTGACTTTTATGGCTATCAAAGAAAGGTCATTATTATGCACTTGCAAGTTGAGACACCCCCACCCTATAGTTGTACTGTGAACCATGTTAACATGATATTTATTTGAGTTAATTTGGTTTATTCAATTTCCATGTTCACTTCCACTAGATTGTCAAAATTGCCTTTTGGCTTTTCTTCCATGGTTCCGATTAACTGTTGTTTAAGTGGCTGATTTATCTAGTAATCCATTCTTACAATGCTGGCCATATCCTTGCAGAGGCACCTGGTTTAAAGAACTGGTCAGACAGAAAATCCAGCAATGTTATCTTAGATCGTGAATTTGAGGAACGATTGGAAGCAGTTAGAAGGTTGACCTACATCCCAACTATAAAATCCTCCCTATATAGAGGACATATACAATTATGTATTTATAGCATTTGGAATCTGAGCTTTATTTGGTGTCTAGTATTGTAAATGCAATCTTGATATCTGTGTTTCGGAGCACATAATGATTTGTTCAGTTCATAAAATGATGTAGTATTGCTTAAATTTCGGCTTACGTACTTATACCCTTTATTGTAAATTAACACTATCAGTTTGTCCTATTGATAAAAAAGCACTTTTGGTCTGTCATCTTCTTGACCTTGTTTTCTTTAACTGTTTATTTTTTTTTGAATTATTTCTTATTTAAAAGTTTCCTTAGTAACCAGAGAGTATAGCAGGTAAGGGTGCAAGTTGGGCTGGTTAGTTTGGGTTGAGGTTAACCTAACTAACCTGAGTTGTTGAAACCCTAATCCTAACCCAAACCTAACTCCATGTTATTTGGTGGGTTTAGTTGTCCCAATTTCTTCACTTCTTAGACATAGGATTAGCCAATTAGGGTTAGCTATATGATTCTTTAAGAGTAATAATGTTACACTAAATCTGTTGTAATATATGTTCTGTGATGCAGGGGCATTATAATCCTTTTACCTTGAGTTGTTTTCACCCTAATTTTTTTTGGTAATAAATAAAAAGAAAAATTATTAATAAATGAAAGTAGTACATCTGACAGTGATGAGATATCACCAGAAAACAAAGCTGCAAAAGAGAGCAAAACAAATAAAAAAGAGACACTCAATAGAAAAAAGAGAGATACATAAACCAAACAAAAGGGAAACTTTTAAGCCAGCTCCACTGCTCCAGAATGTTCCAAAAACCAGAACCAAGGTCTTCTTTTGTGATTCCTTCAAACTCTGGGAGAATGAGAACCACTTCATAATTCTTTTGCCGCATAGTAATGTGATATGCTCCCTTGTTCGAGCCTTCTCTTCAAATATTCTTCCTTTTCTTTCTTTCCAAAGTTCCCGACAAACAACAACAGGAGTGCAGCTCTCGGTGATCTTTGCCTTGACATTTCCCCTTACATTTGACCACTTGGAGAAAATCTCTTCCACTGAATTAGGAGACCACCTGCTAGTCTTGAAAAGCTCAAAGAAGAAGCCCCAAATGAAGTTGGAGAAAAGGCATTCAACATGCAAATGATAGACATTCTCCTCTGCATTCTCACAGAGATAGCATATTCTAGCTAAGTGAAACCATTGTTTTGAAGATGGTTCAATGTCAAAATGCTATCTAATGCCACTAGCCAAGCAAAAGCTTCCACCCTTAGGGGGACAGGGTTTCCCCAGATACCTTTCAATTTTGAACTTTCTCCATTTGACATTGACAAAGTCTTGTAGAAAGATTTGATTGAGAACAGACCATTTCTAGATTATTTCCACCATCTTGAATCCTTCCTTTCCACCTAAGTCTCAGCTGACTGGAGTTCTCCCAGAAGATCCATAGACTCTTGAATTTCCCAATCAAAGAGAGATCTCTTAAATTTTGAACACCATATTTCTCTACCTTGACCTCAAAATTCTTTGCAATAGAGCTATTTTTCATATCCAACCTATACAGACAAGGGCAAAGATGACACAACTTTTCAATACCCAGCCAATAATTTTCTCAGAATTTGATTGTTGAATCAAGGTTGAGAAAAGCCGACTAGAAACACATAATCCCTTTCCACACACTTACTCTGTAAGATGTCTTCACTTCTCTGGAATCCCACCCGAACCCAATAATCCCATATTTGCAAGCCACCACCCTTCTCCAAAGAGCCTCCCTGTCCAACCCAAATCTCCACAACCATTTTCCTAGAAGAGCTTTATTGAAAATCTTCAATCTTCAACCCTTGCACTGTTGATGCATCCAGAAATATCAATGTGTTATTGATGGGGATCAACTTAAGGCATAGCAAAAGAGAACCAAAGCTGCTCCTATCCAGTAGATGCCAAAGGCTTTAAGCTACATTTGGGGATGAAACTAGAGAAATTTATCAAAACTTCAATTTTGGAAGTAGCTATGATGGTACATTTTCGAAAATAGAAAAAGTAGTAACAACAGTACTAGAAACAATAGAAATTAATATTAACTCCTTTGAAAATTCTGTGTTGCAGATGTGAAGAAATTATTAGGGACAAGTTCAATTCTATTCTTAAACTCTTTGTAGCTCCAATTGGTAGCAAAGTTTCCAAGTGGAGATTATAGGGGATTCAAAATTAGCTTGAGATATTTTTTAATACTGTTAGCCATTTCAAGCAATATATCATTAGTCTCTTCATCTAAATTTCATTTTCCTTCTAGTAGTTGTCTATAAATTGTACTAGTTTTTCTCCTTTTAAATTTGCCCACCTAATTCTTGGGCAGCTATTTTCTTCTCTCTTTTTCTGGCATTTTCTAATAGGCAATTCTATCACCATTAATCTATGGAGTCTGTTCTCCTGCCAACAAATATCACTTCCAACACGTTCTAACATGATTTGTTCCTGCATAGCATGTGTTGGACCCACCATGCATGTGGTGTGCGGACATAGATCATGGTGGAACGTGTTGGTTGGGATTTTTGTTGGCAGGAGATCCCAACTCTAATCTTTGTTGTGTGGTTAAGCCTCCCCCTGGAATAATTTTGTGTAGTTATTCATTTGCAGTTTTCTAATGACATTATTATCTCTAGTGAAGGGTAACATGGAAATTGGTGGTGAGATCATTTGAGCAAATAAGCAATCTGAAGGGTAACATAGAAAAGAGTTGTGTGGCAGGTATTAACTTCGAAGACAGGTAGTGGAGCAGTTGGTGGGTTGCTCAAGGTGTTCATTTGCTAGATGGCCCATGAGTTACCTCGTCTACCTCTATGTGCCAATCCTAAGGAGAGGTTGGAACCCAATTTTAGAATTTTCAAAGAAGTCGGCAATGTGGAAGAGGACTTATCTATCTCTTGGAGGAGGAGTACTCTTATCCTATCTATTTTGCCTACCCTACCTGTCTATATTCAAGAAGGCATAGAGGGTGGTCAAGAGGGCAAGGAAAATTATGAGATACTTTTTTTTGGGAACCGTGGGAAGAGAAGAGAGATCACTTGTTTATATTGGAGGTTTAAACATGGCAAAAGAAAATTGGGGGAGGGGGTAGAAATATGTAGAGTGGGGCAAAAGAATGTACCATTGTTAGGGTGGTTGTGGAGATTTCTAAAGGAAAGAGAGACTTAGGCATAAGGTGGTTGCTAGCATATATGGAATGAAGGTCTTGTAAGGCTTACTTAATTGTTTTATAGCTGCTGTTAGTAGGCTGTCGGTCAGTTACTTGTTTTTTCTTTTTCTTATTATTTTGATTCTAGGATGTGCCGCCAGGGGCATACTTGTAATTTCTGATTCTTTTATGAAGTTAATATAAATAGAAAACTGGCGGCAGCCAGAAAGAGACTTTTTCCTCTCAACCGTACCTTTCTCTTCCTTTTCTCTCTCTTTCTCTCTCTCCCCCGATCTCCACGAATCATCACATGGTATCAAAGCAGTTTTTCTGGGTTGAAAAAGACCTACGATCCCTCCTGCCCATTCTTTAAAAGTTTTTGGACATGGCAGTTCTGTGGAAACCCTAGCAGGTTTCTGGCGGCTGTTTCTGCAGAAACCCTAGCAGTTTTCTGGCGGCAGTTTTTGGGGAAACCCTAGCAGTTTTTTCTGGCGGCAGCTTCTGTGATTTCTTTTTCTTGGTCGTAATACCAAGAAAACCCTAGTCGGAGAAGGGCGATGCTGGTGCAGACTCCTCTGTTCGATGCTGTGAAGTCAAGTTCAGATTAGCACCTTCGTA